TACTGTATATATATATATATATATATATATATATACTCTTTGTTCAAATAAAAATAATTATTAATGAGCTCTTAACGCTTTTTATTTTATAAAATAAGTTTCCATTTTGATGTAAAGAATTAGGTTTTTTTAATTGTTAAATAGAATAAATTTGAGATGATGGAGATACTAAATTGTTTTAGATGTGAAGTTAATAGATATATTTTGTTTAATGAGCTAAACAGATCATATCTATTATGAACCATTCAAGGAAATCTGTAATAGACTATTTATGATGGATTAAATAAAATTCAGTGTTATAAATTCCTATTTATAAAATATCTATTAGGGACAGTCAAATGAAAACGAGACAGATGGGAAAAAAGTAAGTAAACTGTTTATTATTTCAAAAATAATTGCCATAACTGTTAATACATTTAATACTGTGAGACAAGATGGTCAATGCTTTCATAGAAAATAGCTTCTATCGAAACTATGTGCATAAATTTTAAGGAGGAGATGCTTTTGTCGATGGCCTGGCAAGAGTTGATTCACAACACGCTTTAGCCGCCTGTTATATCCGAGTAGGTGGACTCGTCGCGCATGCGCAATGTATAATTTTAAAAGAACGATTCAAACTCAAGAACGAAGTTATTTGATCAGCATTCGTTAATCGAATTTACGAGCTAAAACTGTAGGAACCTGATGAAGAGCCCAGAAGGGGTTCAAAAACGTTTGTTTTTTTGTTGTTGATCATACCACACCGTAAATTGGTTCAGTGTGTGTGATTCATAGAAAATGTTTGCGGTTGCCTACAGAACCATGATTGTACCCAGGCGTGCATCTTTTCGTCCGAAGCAAATTGACAGCCACAAATGTCTTTCTTCGAGACTCCGAAAGTATGGAAATCGCATGAAGAGAAATCGGGACTGTATGGAGGATGTGTATGGACTACACTGCAGAAGTTCCCAGCGAAACTTCTGCAGCGTAGTCAAAACAACTTTGGTAACATGTGGGTGGGCATTATCCTGCAACAGAATGATGCTGTCTGTCAACATTCCTGGATGTTTGGATTTGATGGCACACTTCAATTTTTGCAAAGTTTCTATGTACCGCTGTGCGTTAATTGTGGCACCATATTCCAGAAAGTTAACAAGCAGCAGACCTCCATAGTGATATTGCACGCACAAACAACTCACCAACCTCACTTCGAGCACGTCTAACAGACAAATGGCACAGCGGTGAACATTCGCACTGTTCCTTCCTGATTCCCAATAGAGGGCACTTCTATATACACACCTACCTGCATTACCAACTTCCGTTCCACAATTGTTATATAGTTTGTCTCATTTTCATTTGACTGCCCCTAATATATCTCTTATCTGATGTTATATGTAAAGTCCTATAGAACTATAAATATTCAAAATCAGCAATATATTGAAATACAAAATTCATTAAATTTAATTAATCTTAAATTTACTGTTAATAGAATCCAAAATATTTACATTAGAATTATGCAAAACAAAAATCTATTCTCAAAAAATAGAGCATAATCATAGAAGGTAAGCTAGGCTTGAAAAGTTAATGAATAAAAATAAAAATTTAATTTATTAAATAAAACACAAGTTTGTAGATATTGTTTGACTATTAAAGGTTTTACTATTTTCAAAATGTTTTTTCTATAATAAATCAATTTGTATCACATTTTTAGTAGGAAAATTTCAGAAAAAGAGCACATTTATCATGTATAACAGTTGGAAAAGTAATAAAACAGTAGGAAAGTATTGAGGTAGGGCAAATTTTGACACAACAGACTTTTTTGCATTTTTTGATGTATTAAATTCCCTGATTCCAAAACCATAAAAATAAAGAAAACAATTTATAACTACAGGTCTACAATTTATTACAGTTACATTAAAGCTTTAGATTTTATGGTTCAATGGGGCCCTTGCTCAATGTTTTGCCCAGATTGGTCTAAAGCAGTGATTTTAAACTGGTGTGCTGCAAAAATTTCTGAAGGTTATTAAATAAATAATTTTTGAAAGAAGCCCAAAGAACAATAAGTGTACGTGTCAAAATTAAAACCTCTTTAAATTGATTATACAAGTTTTTGATTGTTAATTAAATGTATACATAATGTAGTAAAAAATACATATAAGCAAAATTATATATGCCTAACACTACGCTATTTAATTTAAGATGAAATTTTCTTTAAATAAAAAATGTATCCATAATTGTCCCTATTTAGTTCAAATTATTTTAACTTAGAAATATCAGGACATTGGGCAAGTTTCTAAAGGCAATTATCATGCCGCTTTTAAATGAAAATTATCAATTTAAATAACTATTGTTGTAACCTGTTGCTATTTTAAGTAACAACAATACTGTTTTATTTAATTCACAAAAAATATAAACAAAAAGAATTAGGTTAAGAGGCAGGTAATATGACAATAGAATGTTTACATACACAACTTTAATTCGTGATTTTTTTCTACGGAAATTTAATTATAGATTCAAGTGTGCCATGAGATAAAAATTTTGAAAAACACTGGTCTAAAGCCACCCCTGGCACTTGCAAGCTTTTTTTAAGCTAATATGATTTATAATATTTTTACTTGAGTTTAATTTTTATAATTAACTATTTAATTAGTATAATTAAATTAAAGTGTCAAGTATTTATTATACAAATATTAGATACATTAAAATTATAATTATATTAATAATATATCTTATTTTAAATCCAAAAGAAAAATATAATTTTTATATTTCAATTTGTTATAATTTTTAACCTACATATAGAATGTTGGCCGTAAATATCGTATATTATTATATGACATTGGTCTAATAGTAGACAAACTTATTGGAGGTGCTTATTGCTCATCTTATTGTAGAAGAAAATTTCGTCATCTCTATAATAACATGATGAAAAATATTGCATCTGTAAGTGGAAAACAGTCAATATATTGACATAATATATTGCATTTACATTTTAGTAACTCATCAGAATTATTTCAGAGTCCAACACTTGGTGGATTGCTTGGACATGATATAATAACAGCTAGATTGTCATATTATGAATCTACTCCATTTGAATATCCATTTAATGAATTACTGGTCTGGGCAGTGCTGACAAATAGACAAAAGATGGCTCTGTTTATAGGACAGAGTGGAGAAGAAGTTATTGTAAAGGTAATATTTAAATTATCTTGATTTATTTTTAATAAAACTTTTATTGTTTTCACTGATAGTCAATTACAACATAACAAAAGTATTTCACTGTATTTGTAAGTAATAACTCCATATTGATAGAATAAAGTATAATTTGATGTATAGGAGCCTAAATTTTTGAATTAGAAAGGTTTCTGATCTTGTTATTCATCATCATTTATAGATTAAAGATTATAAAAGAGCTTCTTGTCTTGAAAATTCTTGAAACTAATATCTCAAATAATAGTAGAGATAACAGAGACTTATCACACTTTTACTGGTAACATCAAAATGACACTTCCATCATCAGAATCCAACTTTATTACTGGTATGCATTTCAGTACACAAGACCCTCATCAGCCATACATAAAAATATATAGATATCTGTTGTAGAACAAATTTGCAGAGAGAATAATTGCAATATACTGTAATGCAAATTGTAATTGCAACCGCTAAATAGAGGATTATTAAGAGATTTTCTTTTTAGATATTGTAGGCCTGTTTATAATGTAATCCTCATAGTATTGTGCAGTGTGGGTGGAAATAAATCTTGAACAGGTATGTTTTAAATTGTAGATTGTAATTAATTGTTTTAAATTGTAGATTGCTCTACAACAGATATCTATATATTTTTATGTATGTCTGATGAGGGTCTTGTGTACTGAAATGCATACCAGTAATAAAGTTGCATTCTGATGATAAAAGTGTCATTTTGATGTTATCAGAAGAAGCATGATAAGTCTCTGTTATCTCTACTATAGTATTTGAGATATTAGTTTCAAAGATTAAAGAATAGTTTTCAATTTTTAAGATCTATCAAAAAATAAAGATTTTTAAGATGAGATGAAAATTATTCAGATATAATCAACAAATTAACATTTTTTAAGATGATTTTTTAAGACAGCTTAAAGAAAACTCTTAAAAAATTTAGATTTGTTCTATTCTCATTGATAGATTTGAATAATAATAAAATTCTTTATTCTCTGTGTGATGAGTTCAAGAATTCAGATTTCTATATTTTAAAAACTTTTTCATTTAAATGTTCTGATTCCTTATTAGATAACTGACAAAATTTATAGTGTAGTTTGAAGTCATTTTTATTACTCTATTAGTAACAACATTTTACTATATAGTTAAAAGATTGCTTTTACTATATACATTTATGATTCTGAATCTTCTTGTTTAAATTTAAGGAATTATTAATGAGAGATTAAAATCTAAAATAATTTTTTAGATAATAAAATGGCTTCAGAAAGAATTACATATTTTATTTATGAAAAAATTTTAAAGCATATTAATTCAAAAATAACAAACTAGCTAAATAGATTACATTATTTAAAGATGATAATAGTAATTTGGTTGAATTTACAAAAAAATCTTATATTATTTATTTTAAAATGTTATAATATTCTGCAATTATGGATAGGCTCTAATTGCTTGCATACTGTATAAAGCCATGGCTCGTGAAGCAGCACAAGATGATATGGAAACTGATCTCTATGAAGAGCTGAGGCAAAATGCTAGGTTAGAATTTACATTTTCTATAACACATCTTCATTTATTAGTTTTAATATTTGAATTGTCTTTGCTCTTTTTAGAGAATTTAAACAATTAGCACTTGATCTTTTGGATTACTGTTATCATCAAGATAAAAGTTTGACTCTTCAACTTCTAACCTTTGAAAGACAGAATTGGAGTAAACAGACATGTTTGGGATTAGCAGTAATGGCTAAACATCGTGCATTCTTAGCACACAGTGCTTCACAAATGCTTCTGGCTGATCTCTGGATGGGAGGATTACGAACTCGAAAGAATGCTAACTCTAAAGTAGGAAAGATTACATAAAAATATACTGTATTTAAAATATTTGGTTTGAATTAAAACTTAATGTAATAGTAGATGACAATTTTAATAATATAGTTGTATACTAATGAATTAATTTTATTTATGAAGATAAAATAATTTTCATTTATAGATGTATTATAAAATAGTTATTAAATATTCATTTTAATTTGTAAAATTTTAGGTAATATTTGCTTTGTTATTTCCACCTGCAATTTTTAAACTTGAGTTTAAGTCCACAGAAGAATTAAAGTTAATGCCACAAACAGAAGAAGAGCATATTTGGAATTTACAAAAAAGTGACACAGATAGTAATGGAAATGAAAATGAAAAATGTAGTTTGGATGAAATAGCCTCACATTATAAAACACCTAGAAAAGAGGTAAGAATTTTCATAAAAACCAAAATTTATATAATTTTGAAGACAAGAAATTAACTGTTTTACTTAATATTATTTGTAGTCATATGCAATTCTTCACGCTATAAGTTTAAATACCTCTTATAAATTAGAAAATGGAAAGCCACTTCATATAGATAGCACTGATCTTGAGTTATCTATGGAAGAAAAACAAAAAAAAAGGTCTCCACGAATAGGGAAAAAAGTTTATGAATTTTATGCAGCTCCAATAACTAAGTTCTGGGGTCATACAGTTAGTATATACAAGAATGTTTTATGAAATTAAAATTGTTCTTTAAAAATTTTTAATTTATTATTTTTATTTAGCTAGCATACACTATATTTCTGCTATTATATACTTATGTTGTGCTAGTACGTTTAGAATCAGAACCATCTTGGCAAGAATATTTTGTGATTTCATATTTATCTACATTGCTCTTAGAGAAATTTAGAGAGGTAAGATTTTAAAAACTCATATTATTCTGTAAGATCATATTGTAATCAGTTATTCTGTTTAGATTTTATGCTCTGAACCAGTAAAATTTTCAGCCAAAATTTCAGTCTGGCTAGAAAAAAAATGGAATCCATGTGATGTTGCTCTAATTATCATTTTTCTTATTGCTCTAAAACTTCGTTTAGACCCAAACTTGCAACAAGTAGGTAGATCAATATATTGTGTGAATATCATGTATTGGTACATCAGAATTTTAGATCTTGTCAGTATAAATAAATATCTTGGACCATATGTTACTATGATTGGGAAAATGGTAGGTGTTATTTCTTTATATATATATATAAAATATATTATATAATAAACATTTAATATTTTGGGCAGGTTATCGACATGCTTTATTTTGTAGTTCTCTTGCTTGTCATTTTAATGTGTTATGGCGTAGCAAGACAAGCAGTTCTTTTTCCTTATGAAGAAGCATCATGGAATCTAATAACAGAAATATTCTATTTGCCTTACTTTATGTTGTATGGTGAAGTATTTCTTAATCATATTAAGCGTAAGTATAAAATTAAAACTTTAACATAGTTATTTTATGTACAAGTAAATTAATATGCAGTCTAAAAACAAAATTCATAATTAAATTTATAATTTTCTTTAACATATTTAATGAGTTATTTTATTTTGATTTGTAACAAAATAATTATATCAAAACCATAATAATCTTGTCTTCTGTATATTATTACTACATAAAAAACAATTTCAATATTTTATGTATTTTTACTTTCCTGACTGTTATATAAGCTGCTCACTTGTCAAATTGATTAACTCCACAAAACAAAAAGTATAAAAATTGATAATATAAATTAATTTTAAACTTTAAATTTAAATAAACATTATAGAATGTATTTTTATAGATAGTTATATTAAAGCATAGCTTTAATGTAACAATATATAAAATTACACAAAAAATGTAAAAATAATAATGATTATATTGAGGATTTAGAAATGGAGTTAATTGATTTGGCCTGTGAATGGCTCATATATAACAGGGAAAGTAAGACAATTGCCAAAAAAATGACTTTCCTAAGATTTTTAGATTTTTGGACTTGGGGACCTTGAAATGTCAAGAAACACAAAAAAGTTGGCATTTTTTCTGTATGTATGGATGTTAGTGTGTGTATGGAAATGCACAATTTTGTTCACCAACTTTGAAGCTTAATAACTCCTGTGTCTTTTATCACAAATTTCTGAAATTTTACAGGGAGGTTAGTGTATTAGGGGCATTGATGCTATTAAATTTTGGTAGTTAAAGATCAAGGAGGGGGAGATAGAGGGGGTTATGTCACATCTCAAGTGGAATCAGATTTAATGTAGATTTTATTCACTATTAGCATCTACAACTTTTTCTATAAAACTCATCTCTACTCTCAAAATTAAGCTTTGTCATTTTATAATAATTATATCTTTCAATTTTTTAAAAAATTGAAAGATTGATTCCAAAATCCTATGCATCAATTTGAAGGGGTATTAGAGGTAAGTGAACATTTTTTGTCAAACAACATAGTGTCAGAGCATGCCATTATTCTAGTAGAGAGCCCAGAACAACCATGGCAAGCCTGTTGCTTGGTCACTGATTGCCAGACCTCTTGATAGGACTGTATGAAAGTAAAATTAATTTTATATCAAATCTCTTAAGAATTGAGATTATAGAATATTGTTTTTAATAATATAATAAATTAATTAAAGCAAAATGAGAATAAATATAAAATTTTCTTATTGTCAATATATATTAGGAAAAAATTGACACACACTAACGGAAGTATCTATGTGACATCTAATGGAATCTCACCAGGTAAAAATTTGCATATATTTTGTCCAGCTCATTCAGATTGATATTAATTGAACATATCAGAAACATACATTGTTGTGAAAAATACAGAACTGTCTAGTTTGATTAAAGAGTAATTTGCTGGAAAAGTACATTAGGTATTTTGTCTCTCTCTAGAACTGTTTGAACTTGCATAATTTAAAGTTGTACTTGTCAACATATGAAGATAACCCATTAACCAGGTTTAAAACGTTAGTGTTCTTGAAATCTCATCCACTGTTAAAGATGAATTGATTAATTCTGCATATACATCAATATTTAAAATTTTTGTTATTTTATTTTATCATTTTTCTAAGAAAATTATTAAATATTCTCTCTAAGTTTCTTGCAAATGTTTTAAATTAGCTGTCATGTTCATTACCAAAGAAATCATTGTCCTTATTATATTTATATTATCATTAAATAACATGAGCCTATGTTTTGTTTCTGTATTTAGCATTCTTATTTCTGTATTAAAACATTAACACCTTTTATATTTCAGTAAATTCAGTAATTCAGTAAATTTATTACTATTCAGTAAATTTAGTACTATATTCAGTGGTGATATTCAAAATATTTAACAAAGGATTCGCTAACAGAAAATTTTTCCTTAACAATTTTTTTTTCACTCAAATGGTGCATTAGCAACATTAATGCAAAAACTGACCTTAAGACACCCATATAAATAAAAAAGATGCATTTGCAAAATTAAGTCAGTTAAAATTTAACATTTTTTATGCCAGAGCTATATTTTTTTTTATTCTGATGAAACTGTGTTGTTAATTTACTTTGCTTTATACAGACACAACAAAGTAATGCTTTTCAAACACTTGGCAAATTATTCATCTCTTTATTCAGTTGGGACACTAATTACAAGTTGCATTTCAGACATTAGCCCCCTCCTCAGCTAACTTAAAAATATATTACAAACATACAGACAGCATACATAATGGACTGTATCAAATTCCGTAGATTGAGTGAAGAATGAACAGATTGACAGGTCTCAAGCTCGACAACAGGACTTTCAAACTTGACGAACTGTAATTTATATCTTGATTCATCATCTAAATTCACACAATAACTGTTATAGCCTTTACAGACAAATCTCACATACATCTATCCTAACGACACAATCTGGTTTGCTTGTATCTTCTCTCTGTATCGTTCCTCTTGATATTGAACTGTGCACATGTGTCACTTTGATGTGTCTTTATAGAGCAAAATATATTTTTTTTGATAAATAATAAAAAAGTATGTTCAAAATGGTTTATTTTGTACATATTTTATTACGACATGTGTTCCACAGCCATCTTGTATTTTCTCGCACGCATGGGATTGTGGGATCTCCTTATGACTGGATCTAGTTTCAAGAACTCTCTTGAGTTGATCGCGATTGAACCTCGTTTCAGTCGAGATTGAAATGGTCGAGGGAAGTCGCACCAAGGCGAACGGGGTATAAGGGTCTAGTTTAGTAGTGTTACAGAGTATAATACGTATATTTTAATATATTTTTTAAAAGAAACAAAACCACTGAGAAATGTTACGTGTGTTTAACAAGGTTCAGAAAACTTTGAAAATGTTAACAACGGGTTCGGCTGAACCTGTGCGAACCCACTGAATATCACCACTGACTATAATATATCATTTGTATTTGTGCAGAACAGTAAAAAATCGGATTGCAAAAATAATAATAAACATTACTAACTAAAATGTAAATTTATATTTGAGAAATATGCACTGCTAAGTTCAAGAAATAATGAAATATATAGTATAATCTGTGTGAAACATAATGAATAAAATATGTAACTTATATTTTCATATTTTTTTCTGTTACATATTCTATTACATTTTCTATTATATTTATATTCTGATATATGTAGTAGAATAAACATTTAACTATTAAATGATTCTTGCTTTCTAGCAAAATGTGGAGAGGATCAAAATCTTAAGCCTTGTGGATTAGCAACATGGATTAATCCACTTATTATGTCTATATATTTACTTATTTCAAATATTCTTCTTGTTAATCTTTTGATTGCAGTTTTTAAGTAAGTTGCTTACTCAATAATAAATAATTACAATTTTTTGTTGAATTTTTTCTAAAAAAAATATTTTTTTCCAGTAATATTTTTGTTGAAGTAAATGCAATATCTCAGCAAGTTTGGAAATCAAATAGGTTCCAAGTAGTTATGGAATATGAGCAAAAACCTAGTTTGCCACCACCTTTAATAATCTTTTCTCATTTATATCTTCTATTTAAATATTATATTCGTCGTTGGAAAGGAAAGCCAAAAGGAATAGATTATGGTCTCAGTATGTATGTTTAATTACAATAAAATTATATTTCTTAATATGAAATAAAATAGTACTAAACAAACAATCTTCACAAACGATTTCAACCTCCACCAAGGTCTGCTTCAGGTGGTGACTAAACTCTCCTCTTGACTGTTGGAACGATGACGCCTCCACAACACTGTTGTAAAAAAAGGTTTTGTGGATTGTTGTTACTCAACGCAGTGTTAAGAATAGTAGTCATTTTGTGTTAAATAGTACTAAAATTGCTAATCCTTAAAATATTAAATAATTAATTAACTTTTTATAGAAAATTTGGAATTTCCATTCTAAACACGTTTTCACAGCACCTACTATTGCATTTAAGAAATATTTACTGAATTAAACAAAATTTTTTAATCCAAGTGAGATAAATTACCATGAGCACTGAAAAATTTACTGTATTGTGTTGAACTATAATTTTTGCATTATTATCTTTGAATCATCAGAAGTACTAAATTTTTAAAATAGCAACAATATATAACAGACTAACTATTTAATATTTTAATTAATATGATTATTGCAATATTAATATAAGATGTAATTATTCCAAGAAACAAAAATTTTTAATCATTCAGAGATTTACTAATTATTTTGGTTATAAAAATCCAAAAATTTATTGATAATACTCAAGTTGTAAACTTTATTATTAAAGTAGTTTTGATTTTTTTTAATGGGTTTGTTTTAATTTTGAAATGATAGATTAAAAATATATATATATAATATTCATTAACTAGCAATACAATTCATATTTAATTTGAAGCTGTTATAATTTTATTTTGACATTTTCATTTTATGAAGGAATAATTAAGCCATGTAAAAATAAAGTTTGAAGATTGTTTTACTAAACTTCAAAATCAAAAATGTCTATAGTATCTATGTATTGTTGGATCTAGTATCTATAAGTTAAATTAATAGATTTTAAAACTAACAGAAATAACAGAAAGCATTAATTGATTTCATATCATTCTTCACAAAAAGAACATTGCTGCAATGGAAAAACTAGTTTTAGGACATTTAGAACCATTTAGAAAATTTCTAATAAATCTTTTTAATTTGAATTTTCTGGATTTTCCTTTTGAAAATTAAACTAGTTTTCTGCAAGTTTCTATCATTCATCAGTATTTCATATTCTTGGGCTTATCATATTTTTTCAATACTTTCTTGATCATTCCTTTAACCATTTCAACTTTTTAAGCTAAAGGTAAACTTATGTATGTTATAAAAATATAGCTAAACAACTCTGCTAGCTATACTCAAATGTCATTAAAACCTCAACATTAACGATTTCATTTACATGCTAGGAGTTCACAGAAGTCTCAAATATGGAAAATATTTAAAACACACACATTTTATAAACCAATAGACTACATTTTGCTTTATTTTCTTGAGTTTTAGTTTCAAAGTACAGTATTTTAAAGAGATATACTAGCTTTTGAATTATCCAGATTTTTTACATACAGTTAATATGAATTTATTTTTTTAACACTGATTTAAATACATATTTCAAGGAGAAAAACAGCAAGTTTAAATATTCCAACAATTTAAATTGATCAGACTCAACTGTATTATAATATATAATAAATAATTANGAATAATAATTATAAATAATAAATAATTATAAAAATCTTAGGAATTTTTGTGGATTACACCTGTTGAAAATTCAAGAGAAAATTAATAATTTGAAAATTTCCATATAAAATTAAACTTATACATTATAGTAATTTCCTCTGGGAAAATTTTTAGGTGTTACAATCTTAGCTGGCTGCTACCACAAATTTTCTTACAAACCTCAGTTAAGAACAACAAAGCAATATTTGTATTACAATGTTGCTCAATTGCATACTAGTTTATAGTTCAGTTATCTTTAAAAATTAATTGGAAATAAAATAAAAAATATTTTGACTGATCAGAGAAAAATATTTAGCTAGTCAATCAACTATCTAAAACTAATTTGAGGAGAACACTGAAACTATCGTCTATGAGATCTAGTGTTTTATTTAAAACTTTTAAAAACTCTTAGATGTTTTCAGTTTTTTAAAGCCATCTTCAGATGGATTTTTACAGAATAATCAGAACTCAAATATATCACAAAAATTTATTATAATTCCATAATAATAGGAATTTTGAAGTTATAATTTTAATTAAATTATAAAATAAATATTCTTTTTAGAGATCATACAATTAAAATAAAATACCTATTTATTTATACCCAGTGCTTTTTTCTAAAAAAATTATTGCTAGTATGCTTATATGGTGACTGAATTGTGACTGAATATATAGAATTGTTTTTGTAAGCAGCTGTCACTACTATATGCCTACTATTAAGATTTTTTCATGCTATCTGCTGGTACAGCATACTGGTGCATTCCAGTTGAAAATAGCCCTGTCTAAAACTTATAAACTAAGGGTTGAGTTATAAACTCTGTAACGTAATTGTATCCATACAGGTAACCCCCGTATAACATGGCATTTCTATAGCACGGATTCACTCTACCACAGTTCAGGAATTGGGTAAAACCCTTGTACAACATGAAATGTAATAAGGGGTGCATTCTTTTATACCTTCTCATAACTCCATGCATAACTCCATGCAAGCATTCTAATTGTTTTCGTGGCTACTTTGAATACTCTTTCAACAAATAATCCATTTAATGGTTAAATTTTACAATTGGGACCATTCTTTTGCCTCTAAAAGCTCATTTTAGAATTATAGATTCCTCCATCACGATACTATTGATAGTGCGGGCACCGCCATCTTTCTTTCACCGTCATTCCTAAATGCCTACAAACAGCAGTGCACTCCCATTGCAGAGCGACCACTATTAATGAACTCACCCAAAAACTGTTACCAGTTGATGATGCTCATGCTGAGATCATCATATAGGATGAATAATCCTCTGGTAAAATATTTACTTAACTAATAAATAAGTATGTTACCTATGAAAAAAATGAATAATAAATCCGATTTAAATAAGGATTTAACAGCAAATTTTTTAATTTTTGGAACCTAACCCTCCTTTTCACATTAGTTCTTTGTTTCATATAACACGGATTTGCATAACATGGCAATTTTTTGGAACATAACTCCTGTGTTATATAGGGGTTACCTGTATTTGTAAATGTTTACTACACTGGATATCTATAGCAATAGTTATAAACTACCGTAAGGCCTTTTCCGTATCTGTAAAGGAACAAACTTTTTTACAGTTTCCAAAGTCATCCATAATGAGCATGCACAAAATCATCGGCTGATGTTGCCAGATCTAAATATTTATTTATTTTATCATTTTTTATTTTTTTATGACCAAAGTAACTCTTATCTTAAAATTTTATATTATTCAGAAACAGCATCGTCGGTCAAAAGTTACCAATTTGTCAAAGTTTCTTGGGTTGCTTCCGGAATAACTTTCAATTGTATATCGACTGATGGTGACTTACAGTATCCCTACCATAAAAGTTTGATCGATCCAAACTTTTCTTACGGAATACGATACGGCCATACAGATATGATACGGAGTTTATAACCATGCTATATGGATATGCTTACAGATATGGTACGGATACGGTTACATTGCGGAGTTTATAACTCAACCCTAATAATCATGAAGTTAAATAACTAAAAGCAATCATGAAATATGAATAATTATTTTTGTTACATCATAAAATGCAAGTAAAAAATCACATATCATATTAGTGGTAGATTAAGAGATCCAGGACCTTAAATAAAATAACATTTAAGATCTATGATGTATAGCTGAAATGGACTTTACATTTATGAAAACATTTATTTACATTATTTCTGAGAATGATGTTTTTTACAAATAATAATAATATAATAATAATACAATGCAGTTTACATTGTCACATCTCATGTACAGTACATGGACGACATAAAACGTTTATGCATCCACACAAAAACAACTTCATCAACTCCTACAAATCACACATTCATACTCAAAGACATACAAATGGAATTTGGCCTAGACAAATGCAAAACACTTTGCATAGAAAAAGGAATCCCAAAGAAAGGAGATTTTGCATTTGGAAATGAAGACGTGATTGAATTCATGGAAGAGGGTGAGTTCTACAAGTATTTAGGATTCTAGCAGGCCAAACTAATAGAACATACACAAATAAAGCAAAGATTAATTAAAGAATACCAAAGTAGGTTAAATGCTATTCTCAGAACACAGTTAAATGCAAAACACACAGTTACAGCAATAAATACATATGTCATCCCAGTATTCACATATTCTTTTGGAGTTATGCATTGGACCCATACAGATCTTGAACAACTCCAAACGAAAACAAGAACAACACTTACTAAGCATAAACATCAACCTAAATCTGGCATAGAAAGATTAACCCTTCCATGTAAAGATGGTGGTTATGTATAGTAAACCTTCAATATAAACAAATACAGACACTGCGAGAATTTGTCTACAGAAAACAAGAAACATCACAGTTACATAAAACAGACTCAAATAACACACCATTAAACTTACACTCACATCATATGGCCATGACACAACATATAAAAAGCATAGACATCATTAAGCAATTGTGGGCTTAATTAAAAGGCACTTCATGGCAGACATCCCTACAATTTGGCTGGGGATTTTGTTGACAAAACTGTGTCAAATAGCTGGTTAGCTCAGGGATGCCTCTTTGTAGAGAAGGAAGGCTTCATGATTGCTATATAGGATCAGGTCATAAATACTAAAAACTATAGAAAATACATACTCAAAAATACAACACATCACTTCTGGTTGCAAGCTCTTGGCACAGACAGATTATTTACATAGACATAATCAAGTAGCAAATATAATACACCAAGAGCTTGCAAACAAACCCAAATTATTAAACATCCATGAACCATACTACAAATACATTCCACAGACAGTATTGGTAAACAACATGTGCAAAATGTACTATGACAGAGCCATAATCACAGATAAAATAATTTACCACAGCAGACCAGACATCACACTCATTAACAAACATAATAAAACCACATACATTATAGACATATCCATTCCAAACACTCACAATGTACAAAACACATGCACTGAAAAAATCAGCAAGTACACAGAACTCGCCCAGGAAATAATGCATATGTGGAGGATGGATAAGGTGCTTATTGTACCTGTCATTCTCTCCTCTACTACACACACTACACAAAAACCTGGAAACATTACAATTGAATAGAAATACATACGTCACACTACAGAAGGCCACTATATTGAACACATGTCATATTGTTAGGGAATGCCTGAATACAGACACACACTGACACACTTATTTAATTTTAGTTTTGTTTTGGTTGCTATGCCTTGACTCTGGTCTGTCATAGTACACAGCAACTGGTGTCAACCAAGTATAACTCACTAAACCCAACATATTATCTTTACCTGTTTCTCTAACTGCACTTAATTAATTGATACATAAAAACCTTTATAATGCAGCCTTTAGTTCAAATTAGCAAACATTTTCGGCCGTTTTGAAAGGCCTTCATCAGGAAAATAGCCATCAAATGATTCTTAATTTAAACAGACGTTTGTTTTGGAATGTTATAATTTTGAAATTTTCCTATATGCACAGGCTCGTATGTAAATAAATACCATCTGCTTCTTTAACTGCTAGTTCCTTTATATATTATAATATTCAAATTAGGCTTGCTCTCCAAGCTGCAGATATTTTACTGGACACTCTAAAATTTATTGCTACCCCTTCTTGGTATGTCTTAAATATCTGCCAAGCTTCCACATATTTTAAGTGCCTCTTGTCTTGGATCTTTTTATGTGCCAACATATTATTATTATTGTTGTTATTATTAAATTAAAACACACACATACGAAACAGAATATGCACATATAGGAATACATGGACGCATTCAAATAAAACTTGCAGTTGCAAAGATTGAAATGTTACAAAGCGTGTATGCTACAAAAACAACATATATTATTCACAAACAATGAAGCACATTTTTACAGACAAATACATATCAAACCAATCACACAACAACAGAACTCCAATAGAAAAGCAACCTACAGACTATTGGTCTGCTCTTTCGTGCAATCCAGTCACACAAAACCTGGATCAAAGAAGAAGAAAACACGCATAATACATCAATCATGCCTTGTGTTGAAATAAACATACAATTGGAAGACACCTACTGCAGACAACATTCACATTTTCTGGTATAAAAAATTTACATTTTTACACTAGGAACTAGCCAAACATTTTATACATAAATTAATTATTCACAAGACATGCCAAAATTTCCCATACAGAACATGAAATCCAAAAACAAACACAAGACCCTAAACAATACAGAGCAATTGCATGCCTTTCTCCACTCTACAAAATACTCATTTCATTCATCATAAACAGAATATACTGTTACATAGAACAGTGCAACATTTTCACAGAGCAACAAAAAGACTACAATAGAAACCACATGGAATGCAAAGAACAGTTACTCATACACTCATTCATTCTACAACAAACACAAACAAAACAAACTTAAAAACAGCATACATAGATTATAGGAAAGCATTTGCCAACATCACACACTCTTGGTTAGTGCTTATACAACACTACATTTTTATAAAATACAATGCAACACTGGAGAACAACACTACAGACTTCATAACATATATATCAAAACAAACTAAATACACAATAAGAAAGGCATTTTCCAGAGAGATTCATTAATTTTCAAAGTTTTTCTGAACAATTATTGAATAATAAGTAAATACTATATCCATCATTAACCTCTGATTTTGATCAATTCTAATCAGAAGATTTAAAACGAATTATTACATAGAAATGGTGAATTTTATCAAAGAAAAGATCACCAAAAAAAATTCTAATCGCACAAATTTCTGATTTATTGGAACACAAGAATAGTTTCTAATAGTTTCCTAGAACTTTTGAGCTTAGTCAGTTCATAAATGCTTTTTATGCTCCAATAAAGAGGGAATCAGTGTGATAATGTAATTATTACTAACAAATACTTCTGCATTAATATTTATTTTATACACAAATTAAATTAAACAAAAATTTAGTTCTTTAGATGTTGCTTTCAATTTATATTCATTAGATCAACTTAATATAATACTTTAGAATATAAAGCTAAATTAATTATCTTATTTAACTTCTTAACACATCGGGTTGAAATTTATATCTTCTTACTTCAAACCAAATAACCGGAGCAAAACATGTTTCTTTAGTGCTGACGTTTTTGACACCCTTCTAAAGGAGCATAAGTCAGACATACTATACAATAAATGCACAACAACCCTTTTGAGTTATGCAACAGACCCAGACATCACAGCCGACTTTAACGAAACATGTATCATCCTCACCATCCCGCATTAGGATCACCTCAAACTAATGGAGGTAATGGAAATATTTAAGGCAGGATGCAAATCCACATGCATTAATTTTAAGGAGGAAATGTTGCTTTCTATGGCATGGCAGTCCTAATGGACAATATTTAATTTTATTTACGTTTATAATGTTTTAAATTAAAAAACAGTTTGCATTTTGAATCTCATAGTAGCATACACTGTTTGAATAAATTGGAATGTGTGTGCATTTGGAATACGAAATTGAATGCCTTCTAAAGAAGTTCAAAAGTTTAAAGACCAGCTTCAACGGATTTAAGTAAATGCCTGAAGAAGAGCCCAGAAGGGTGTCAAAAACTTAGCACTAAAGAAACATTTTTAGCTCCGGTTATTTGGTTTGAAGTAAAAGGATTTAATTATCTTATATTATCTATTAAATTATTATATTTTTTTTATATGGTTTAAAAATAATTTATTAAATACTCTACAAATTTATATTTTATAATCTACCAATATAACTATATATGGAAAGTTCATTTAACAGTGAATTTATTATTATACTCTCATATAACAATATTGAAATTTTAATTAATATTCAAATTGTTTTAGAGTTATTTTTAGATGAAGAAAGTATTGAAAAGATAAATGATTTTGAAGAAGAATGTGCAGAAAGTTATTTTCATGAAAAAGAATTACAGTCAACATTAGATCAGCAGATTCAAATAGTATCAGAAAGGTAATTATCATAATTATCAATTTTAAACAATATATATCTGTACAAATAAAATAAAATAAACCTTTAACTATCCAGCAATAAATAATGTTTAATAAAAACGTTTTCAACCGTTTTTAAACGGCCATCTTTAGTTGAACCAATATTAAAAAAGAACACTAAAAAAGAACGCATGAAATACAAATTAAACAGAAACCAAAATGCACATGCGTACTTCATCAGACTTGCGTCTTCTGAAAATCTATAAATAACTTGCAAATAACATAAAAAAATAATAAAGCCGCCAAATAATAGTATACTCAAGATATGTAGATGATATTTTCATTCTATGGAGAAATGATAACAACGTGCAATGTTTTTTAAACACAGTCAACAATAACCCATATGGTTTAACTTTGGGTCTAGAGCAAGAGAGTAGTAGTAATATTAACTTCCTCGATTTATCTATCAAATGCAAGGAAGGAGAAATCTGGACGGACATTTATCGCAAACCAGTTTATCAACCTATCATTATTCCCAGGAATTCCATCGATCCTAGGCACATTAAATATGCAGCGATTCGGGCATGGATTAAACGGGCATATATGCATTGCACGAGTATCTATGATACTTACAAAGAGTTGGATTACATCAGGAAGACAGCAATGCAACAAGGTTATCGGAGGAGGGAGGTGGACGAGCTTATTACGAAGTTTCAGAATCAGAATCGGCAGCATCCCAAAAAAATGACCCAGGAACGAAGAGTAGTTCTTAATTATTTTCCTTTTTTAAACAAAATGATTAGGAGAGTGGCGAACAGTAATAATCTACAAATAGTATATCGGCGTAATCCGACGATCTACAGAAGGTTAAGAAACGATAAGAGAAAGGAAAAGCGAAATAATTTACCAGGGGTTTATTCTATACCTATAAAGGATCAGCGGTTCAACTCAGACCTTGTTTACGTGGGTGCTACTACGCGGCAGTTAAAACAAAGATTAAAGGAACATAAATACTCTGTGAGTAAGAACATAGATGCCACAGTGCTCACAGCATTTGCCAAACAGCAAGAGGTCGAGGTATATTGGGATCAAGCCTCGATCATTAGAGCCGCGAATTCCAGACAGGCATTGAAACACCTTGAAAAGATAGAGATACACAAGGCACACATAAATAAGGGATGCATTAATCATAGAGATGCGGAAGGGTTATCTTATGCCTGGAAATTTTTACAATAATGCAGATTAACACCTTGTAATCAATGTATATTCTCCCCCCCCCTTTTTGGCGGCTTTATTATTTTTTTATGTTATTTGCAAGTTATTTATAGATTTTCAGAAGACGCAAGTCTGATGAAGTACGCATGTGCATTTTGGTTTCTGTTTAATTTGTATTTCATGCGTTCTTTTTTAGTGTTCTTTTTTAATATTGGTTCAACTAAAGATGGACGTTTAAAAACGGTTGAAAACGTTTTTATTAAACATTATTTATTGCTGGATAGTTAAAGGTTTATTTTATTTTATTTATATTATTCATTCCAGTATAAGTTCTTGTTTTTATTTATTTATATCTGTACTGTACATATCAATCTAAGCAATTATGTTCAATTTTTAAAATAACTGAAATTATAAAATTAAATTTAATTCATAAATTACTTTAATTAGTTGTACAAAAAATAAAGGAATTATTGATATAAGAATAAATAATGTACAAAGACATCTTTCCAAAAAAATTGATAATGTTTGCATTAATCTTATGTGTGTTTATATATCTATATATTTCATAAGCATTCACTTTGTATCAGTTTCTGCTAAATTTACCAAGTTATAGAATAATCTCAAAATTTTAAAATATATCGTATCTTTTTTATTATTACTGTAGAAATAATTAATATCAAAAATCTGGATGCTTAACTAGAGTTTAGAAATATTAGTTGGAGTTAGAAAACTTTACGGAAAGAATGGATTTATCCATTTATCCATAAAACCCCATATCACAAAATAGAATACAAAAAAGACTGAATCATATTCCATACTAATACATTTATTTGAGTTGAATAAACATTTAAAATACAGAAGAAGAGTATTAATCATATAAAGCAAATATGAATTGTCTTAACAGTGAATGGACCACTGAAGATGGTCAGAAACTATATGAATGAGTATACTGTATATGCATATAGTCGTTCATTTTTCATTTAACAATCACTATATTGTTGACCCACAAGGCGTTAAATTCAAAATTCATTTAATGATTAAGTGTTTATGTCTGCTAACCAAGTGCAGCAGTTCAGTATAATTGAGAATTCAGGAAATATTTTTATGAGAGATTTTAGTTAACAAAATTGATGCTCTTTTTGTAAATCAGTTTTATTTTATTTTGTTAATGATATCAATTTCTGGGTTCTCAAATAGTAATTATCACTATATTAAGACTGAAGAATAATCAAAAATTATTTAATTTGTTAAAAATATTGAAGAAAAGGAAAGGCAAATGATACAATTAAACTGAAACTATTATAAATATTTATAACAGTCCTAACAATTAGTCATCTAGCTGCTTAGTTTTCCAGTACCAGGTTTAGTATCAATAAAGAAAAGCTGTTTCTATTGAAAATACTTATGAAGCTATTGCAATGAGGATTTTGTTTAAATAAAATGTAAATTAATAAAAAAAAAAATTGTATTATACTATAATACAGAAAGGAAAAGTTAATTTTAGTTCTTAATTACTAGGTCAAGAGTCAATAACTTAACTGCATTTAGGTTCTTTGAGAATGATCTTCAGATCCTATCATTCCCTATCCCATTACATAGGTCTTGATTGATAAGATATGTCAGATGCTACATCTAAGCAAATTGCTTACTACAAGATATCTATACTCCATACTCTAAAATATTGTGATATATTGTTTTTACAATATAGCACAATATTTTTTTTTATTAGTTTCCATATATTTGAGAATTACAAGAGCAGTTTTCCACAGTTTATGTTTAAAAGACTTGAATCAATAGAGAAACTTCATTTCATTGTACATAGTCATTATCAATGTGAAAGTTATATAGTAGTTTTAAAGGTTTTTGGCCAATAAATAAATACAAATGGTGATGTGATAGAACTTGAAAATTATGGGAAATGAATTATCAGACAGAGTAAGCTTGAGAATAGTCAATTTTAACAGAATTAGTATTAAAACTAAATTTTTCAATTTAGTTTTAATACTGTTCTAATTTGTAATACAAAGAAAGCAGTGATAGTGAAAAAATAGAAATTATAATATAACAGCACACTTGGGCTCATTGTCTATTGTGCTGCAATGTTGTAATCTTAGGATCATTATACTTATTTTATTTAAGAATTTTTTTATATTTTCACTAAATGAGATCTTTTCCAAGTATTTTTGCTTCTTAGGTTTTTTTTTAATTGTCATTAAAATCATTATCAAAGATATTACAGTTGCATCTTAAAAATAGATATCCTAAATAAACATATTGTTCTTTTATATATCCTACAACACTTTTTGCTTTAATTTCTGTTTTAAATTTTGAAAAAATCACTCTTCTTGTAAAAGTTATTGACCTCTGAACTAAACTATTTTGTTGTGAAAATGTTTATTGTGTTGTTTATTATTACAATAAATATAGTAAATACTATGATATAATGTGAAGTGTTATTGTTTAAAAATTTTTGAAGTTATAAATTAGGAATACTGATGAGACAATCATATCAGTTGACCAAAATAATTTGTGCAAAGTGGCTATTGGAAAACTCACACCAATTTTTTGGTCACCTGATAATAAATGACTAATGACAAATTCCATCAATAGCAGTCTTCAAAATCAATTATGTTTGTTAAGTGTAAAGGGCATTGTCTACACCTGTGATGGCCAACTGACAGTCCACAGACCTGATTCAGCTTTCCAGGCCATTTTTATGGTTCATACAGCATCTCTCAAGTAATTCCATCTGATTGATCATAGTTATAATCAGTTAATGATAGCAAGGAGTGCCCCAAGTATATATATTGATAGATGAATGTGCAAGTTATCCAAAGCAATGTACAAGGTATGAAATAATTAATTCCAATGGTAATATTTCAATTATTTGCTTACATCCAATACTCTTTACGTACAATTTTATTGCTGAGAAATTTGAATATAGCAGCAAATCTTCATACTGTTTTCATAACAAACTTCATATTATACATATCCACCTATTCATGTTAAAAAAAGTTAAAATTGCCTTTAAGCCAGAAATCCATAATTCCAATTTGATCTTTTATGCAGTAGTACTGATCATGAAATGAAATGTCTTCAGCTGGTGTGTTTTTGCCATTAGATAAAATTAGCATCAAACCAATTTACTAGTTAGTCATGAGGAAGCCAGGATCACAAGACTTTTTGACATTTAATTTAAATCTGAATTGCTGAATTTTGAGAGACTGCAATGTTCTCATTAAAGTAACAAATTAATAAAAAATAATAATAATTTTAAAATATGTTTCTTACAAAATAAATATTAAATTTTGAATATAACAAATTTAGAATCTTTTCTTATTTCCATTCCTTAAATAACTATTTAGGTTTACAAAATTCAAAGTTGATAAATAGAGAATGTATACTCTTTGACAGGTCTGTTGAAGTGTGACAATCAATCTAATTATTCAATTATTTGACTGTTGGATTGAGCAATAAGCTTGAAACATTAATATTTACTATGCCAACATTTAATATTAATTATATGTTGGATATTCTTGTTTAAAAATACATACATTTTTGTATTAATTAAATCATATTGTAATGGAGAAAAAAAATGCCAAATAACTAAATTTAATCACAAAATACTAACCATAATTACACTTAATATAATTCAGTTTTAAAATTATTGAATAGTTGCTGTTTATTTTAAAAAATTATTTTATTATAATTGAAATTAAAATTAATTAAACAAAAAGTCAAAATTTATTAATAGTTAAATATTTTTGAAAACTTTATCTTCATCTTTATTCTTATTGACATGGTTCA